GGAGGCGCTTGCGAGATTGAAAAGAATAGATCACTTTTCTGCTAATCATATTAATGTGAGCAACCCAAGACAAATTATTATCAAAAATAACACCTAAGTTCTTAGCAGTCTCTGTATATGGAATTTGAGTATTATCATACGTTACTGCAGGGATCTTCGAACGATCTAATAAATTAAGCATATATGAGCTGCCGATAATCATTACTTGGGATTTAGCAGGATTAACAAGAAGACCAAACGATTTCGCCCAACTGCTTATGCTACTTAAGACAAGAATTAAATGCACTGCTGAAGTCCAATAATGTTAGAACAGTGAGAAATTTTTTGTCCATGGCCCAGCGAATGTCATCAGACACTTTAATCAGAGCGCTGACTGTGCTATGGCCTGGACGAAAACCAGATTGAAAAGGGCACAGCAGGCTGTGAACAGTTAGGAAATGAGATAGTTGCCTCTGAACTATATTTTCTAGTACTTTAGATAAGATCGGAAGAATAGAAATAGGGCGGAATTGGGATAAAGATGTAGGATTAGAAGTTTTTGGAAGGGGAATGATGAATGCCTTTTTCCAGCAAGTTGGAAAGGAGCTCGTCTCAAGCGACGAAGAGATAATGAGAGTGATAATAGGGACAAGTTCATTAGTGATAGGTTTAATCATTTGTATACAAAGATTGTCATAGCCAATAGCTTTAGTGGAAATAGATAAAAGGCATTTTTTTATTTCACCCTCAGTAACTTTACTGAAATTAAAAGGAGAACACAGCGGCTTAGGAATATTGGAGAGAAGATTAAGTGTCACAGACTTAATAGAGTCATCAATAGAAATCGGAGGCTCAGAAAAGTGCCGGTTGAGTGCAGTCAAATCAAACGAGATATTAGGATCATTATATGATTTGCCTATACCCAGAGTTCTAAGAAATTTCCACATCTGAGCGGAATGAGAATTTTCAACCTCATCATAGATATGTCTCCTCTTAGCATCACGACACATCTTACTACAGCGATTACGTAGTTTTTTATAATTGAATAAATTTTCATTAGTAGGGTGCTTCTTATAACGCCTCTTAGCTTTATCTCTTTTGGACATTACTGCTTTTATAGACTCTGAAAGCCAGGGGGCTGGAAAGTGTTTAACCCTGACTCGCTTAAGTGGTGCATGTGTATCGAAGAGTTTTAAAATGAGGTGATTAAAAGCATAAACCTTATCATTAACATTTTCGGAATTTAGAACAGATTTTTACTATAATTACAGAATACGGCTACTAGTTGATCATGTAAATGAGTGGAATCATCGCTTAAGGCGCTTTTATAGGTCTTATCGGAAGAACCAGAAGAAGAGCAAGAAAAGTAACTATCATCAAATTCCAAAATATCACACATGCTAATCAAAACTATAACAGAAACTAAGCTACAACAAAAACAATAAAGATTAAATATATACTTGTATAATGTATAATAAAATAAATATTATATAAGTCTGGATATAATACCTACAAAATAAATAATAATATGTTATGAAATATTATGAAATAGTAATTAAATTAAAATTAAATTGCCAACAATTATGCACTTAACTAAACATTTCTTTCATACCTGCCGGCAGTGGCATCAGTAGAATTTTATAATTAGATAACATATTTAAGACTAATTAATATAATAAAAATATAGAAAAAGGACAGTCTTACCATCAATAATAAAACAGACAAATATTATTTATGGATCCTGTCTGGCATAAAGCCTGGTAGTATGTGCAATCGAATGACAGCATGACAGCTATTACTAGCTGTCATTATGATTTATTTAATGGATTCTGCTGTCAGAGTGATTGGTTGTCACACGTGCTTTTTCGTTTTCTAGATTATTGATTACTTTTTGGCAATTTTGTGCAAGGCTTTACAATTTTTTTTGTGTTGTCTGTGATTGTTTTGTTCGTATTGTCGTAATTAACCGGTGAGTAGTAGAAATATTAATATAGTGTATGTAGAATAGTGTGGTAATGATGGATGTAGATGGAGGGGAACCAGAACCCCCGGATAAATCTGGGAATTCTGGCGTAGCCAAACGAAAACCCGCGGACTCATTAACTAATAACATTCCCAGGAAAAAAACTGACGTCAACCCATCTTCCTTACGACAAAATGTGTATGTTCACCCTGATTTCCAGGAAAAAAAAAAGTACGTAGATAGCGATAAAGGACCTTTCGTTATTCACTTAACCCGCGCAGAACCTGACCCAGCGGCTGGTTATACCATTAGACCCGTGAAAATAGGTCATATACTTTCACAAAATAAAGTAGCAAATTTAGAAAAGCAGGGTATCAAAAATGAAGGCCGCAACAGAGTATCAATTGCATTCAAGACTGCCTCTGATGCTAACAATTTCATTGATTCTCAATTCCTGATACAACATAAACTTGCCGCAACTATCCCCACCTTCAACGTAACTCGTATGGGTGTGGTTAGGGGAATCCCAACTGACATTTCTATGGAGGAATTAGTTGCAGAGTCAGAGCTCCCCTCTGGGAGAGGGGAAATTATTAAAGCCAGAAGGCTCCACAGAAAAGTTAAAAAGGGTGATGAAGTGGAGTGGGTTCCAAGTTCCAACCCAAACTATTGTCCTCACCTTCTCCGGTCAAGTGCTTCCTTCACATTTATACTGTTTTTATTCATCAATCCCGGTCGAAACCTACCTCCTTCCCACCATTCAATGTATGAAATGCTGTCGTTTTGGACATGTAAAGGCTCAATGCCGATCAAAACCTTGTTGTTATAAATGCACAAAGGAACACACTGGGGAAAACTGCCTTACAGACACACCAACCTGTCTTTACTGCTCTGCCAAACATATGGCAACTGATAAAAGCTGCCCCGAACATTCTCGCCAGAAAGCAATTAAGTTAGTAATGTCACAAGAGAATGTCTCGTATCTGGAGGCTTCTGCTCGCTTTCCAGCCGTCAGAAGACCATATGCGGACGTTGCTTCTTCTCAAGTCTCCATGAGTAACAATTCCTCTACCCAGGCTCCTAGCACTCCCTCCTCTCGCCCTTCTCCCCAATCCTACAGGAAAACCATTCTAAAAGCCAAAACCATTCCAGTGAGATCTACAGTGGGTTATGATAGAATTTCTCATTCCAACATAACAAGAACTCCTACCTCTTCCTTGCCCAATGGACATGCTTTGCAGTCCAATGTTACTCCTAATGACAACCTTTTAGAAAACCTTGTGGCATCCCTTTCGGATATTGTCGGCAAATTTGATGATGTATATCTACCGTTTAACGTGAAAAATAAACTTGACACCCTTTTCTCAAAATTGTACAAAATTCCCATCCCTAAACCTCCTTCAATCCTTGCAATTGCGGAAACCTGGCTCAAGCCAGGCTCTACGTTCTTGATCCCAGGCTTCTCCTGTTATCGTAGTGATCGGAATGATGGTTATGGTGGCACTATGATACTACTAAACAGGACCATTCCTTCCAGTCCTGTCCTTCTTCCTCAAGTACAAGATAACATTAATGCCGTAGCCATTAAAGCTATGGATATAACCATTGTCTCAATTTATGTATCATCCCCCACTCCCTCATGTATCCCTGAAATAAACTTGATCCTATCTAGCATTTCCCCTCCCTACATTATTCTTGGCGACTTTAATAGCCATCACGTAATGTGGGGCTCCCATAAATCGGACTCTTTTTCATACTTACTGCTTGATGTTTTTAATGAATTCAATCTTTGTCTTCTAAATGATGGTTCTCCTACCAGAATGTGTTATCCCTCCCGTAATCCTAGATCTGTAGTTGATCTATCATTATGCTCTCCATCCCTGGCTGCCAGTATGTCATTTCAAACACTATCTTCTTGTTTTGGAAGTGACCATTATCCCATCCTGTTAAACCTGTCCAATAGATGTACTCCTCCCAGAAATACAGCTCCTCTTTTAAAATTCAATTTGTCGGATGCCAACTGGGAAGGATTTGCCACAGAATCAGAATGTAGTATTCAGAACTTTCCTACTGTTACATCCCAAAACCTACATTCTGTATATAATCAGTTCATAGCAATATTAAATACTTCAGCCTGCAAAATTTTTCCATTGAAAAACACATCCCCTAAGAAACTATCCTCACCTCCATGGTGGGATTCTGAATGCTCCTCGATCATCAGAAAACGCAAGGCAGCGGAAAGGTTATACTCCTCAAATATGTCAATGGAAAATTTCTTAAGTTACCAAAAAAATTGCCGCTGAATCCAAAAAACTTCTTTCGGAAAAGAAAAAAAAGGGATGGCTTTCATTTTGTGAGAGTCTATCCCCTCTATCTCCTTCTTCCTTAGTTTGGAAAAATATCAGACGTTTTCGCGGAGCTTTAAATGTCAATAATTCCTCCTGTGCAGATCCTTCAGAATGGCTAAACGACTTCCTCCATGGGTTCCTATGGAGGAAGAGATATTTCCAACTGCAAAAAGTTTCCCCTCCCACTCTCCCAGCATCCCAAATAACCTTAACGAACCATTCTCTTTAGAAGAATTAAAGTTAGTGCTCAGCCACCTCAAGGACTCCTCACCTGGCATTGACGGTATTCCCTATTCATTTATGGTTAATATGGGCTCTTCATGTCAACAGATCTTTCTTAACATCATTAATCAGGTTTTTACGACAGGTCCTATCCCAGATGACTGGAAAACCCATATTATTATACCCATTTTAAAGCCTGGAAAAGACCCCTCTTCAGCATTAAATTACCGCCCTATTGCTATCTCATCAACCTTATCTAAAGTCATGGAACATCTCGTAAAGAATCGACTGGAGTGGATATTAGAAAATAGGGGCATTCTGTCAAGGACTCAATTTGGTTTTAGAAAAGGTTTTAGCACAATGGATAGCCTTAGTATCTTGTATCAGACATAAGACTTGCTTTTTCCAACAATGAGTATCTTGTAGGCGTCTTTGTGGATGTTCGTTCGGCCTACGATGATGTTATTTTTCCGCTGCTCAGGCAGAAAATGCAACAGCTGAACATCCCGGAGAGAATCACAAATTTCGTGTCAAACCTGCTTTCGCAGAGGCGCATATTAGTTCGCTCTGAAGGCAAGCTCACATCACCTAGACCTGTCTGGAAGGGATTACCTCAAGGCTCAGTTCTGAGCCCCTTGTTATACAGCCTTTATACATATGAACTTGATAGATCTGTAAACTACTTAGCTAATGTCCTACAGTATGCTGATGACTTAGTCTTATATGCATCCGACATTTCCTTTGACCAAGCAATCTCCCGTCTATCCCAAGCAGTTAAATCCCTCAACTTTTGGCTTATAGAACATGGTTTGTCCATTTCAGCTAGTAAGAGTAACTCAGTAGTATTTACTAGACGAAGGTTTTCCCCAGATGTGCCTATCCATATTGATGACTCTCTTATACCTTCTCAGACTCAAGTGAAATTTTTAGGAGTATTTCTAGACAGTAAAATGACAGGTATCCCACATTTATCCTATGTAGCTGCTAAATGTGAAAAAAATTTAAATGTCATCCGATCTCTATCAGGCTCCTGGTGGGGCTCCCATCCTTATTCCCAAAAGCTTTTATATAATGCATTAATAAGAAGCCATTTCGATTATGGTTGTTTTTTACTGGAGCCATGTAGTAAAATGGCACTTAACATACTGGACAAAATCCAGTCAAAATGTCTCAGAATCATAACAGGAGCAATGAAATCTACTCCTTCCTCGCTCTCCAAGTGGAATGTGTCGAGCCTCCTCTTTTTCTCCGAAGACAGTATTTATCAGACAGATTTTTATTTAAAGCTGCCTGTTATTCGCACCATCCTCTCCTATCCAAACTACACTCCCTTAACCAGTTAGTCAAGCGATCCCAATATGGGTCACATAAGGATTTGCCATGCATTATAAAAAGCTATTCCAAACTTGTCAATCTTCCTTCTCCAATCTCCAAGTCACTTAGGAACCCTCTCTACAATATTCCCTATGAGGCCCTAATATATAAGCCAGACATATTTTTAAATATTGGCATTTATAAGGACAGCACTGAACCAAATATTAAATTAAACATGATTCTAGCTGAAAAGTGGGTTGACTGGGTGATTATGTTCACAGATGCCTCAAAGGTCAGCGAAAAAGGTTTAGTAGGATCCGCAGTGTGGATACCTAAATATAAAATTATTTTAAATTTTAATTCCCCTTCTGACTCTTCTGTATTCACAGGTGAGTCATTGGCTATATTAGAGGCAGTTTTGTATGCTGAATCTCACAGCCTGAAAAAAAACTCTCATATTATCAGATTCCCTTAGCTGCTTACAAAGTATTGCTTCCAGCCCATTTCAATTAAAAGTAAAATACCCATTAATTTTAAATATCAGAGAGTCTCTATTCAAATGTCATAAAAAGGAACTAAGGATTGTCTTGGCGTGGATACCTGCTCACTGTGGGATTCAGGGCAACGAGGTTGCTGATCGGATAGCTAAGGAAGCAGCTAAATCTGGATCACTACCCAAACACAATATTTACTCATATGACCTCCTGTCGAAGGCTAACTTAAGTTTACACTCCTCATGGCAAACCATTTGGCATCAGTCAAAACTTATAAAATGTAAAAATTATGCTAATGTCCAAAATAATATCCCCCTAAAACCTTGGTTCTTTAAAACCCGTCACTTTAGTAAAGTGATTACCTCAACTGTTTGCCGTCTCCGATTCGGTCACACCTGCACACCTGTACACCTAGCTAAATTAAGGATTAGGGATACGTCAACCTGTGAATGTGGGTTAGGCGAAGGAATAGTTAACCACCTGTTTTTTGAGTGCCCCAAGGTCTCCTTCTCCTTTTATGATATACTCCCTTCCCTCGTCCTACTAATTTCTCATACTTACTGTCCCTTGTGTTTACTCCCTTTGTAAATATTTTGTGTGATTATATTAGAACTAATAAAATTAAGTTGTAAGATTACTAACATGGTGATGGTTATAAACTTGTGGCGTCTTATGTTGTAGATTGTGAAGACCTACACAAACAATAATAACTTGTAACTATTGTAAACACTCTCTTGTCACTCCCATGACTGACTTGACATTGGCAGAATTCTAAAAAGAGGGGCCATAAAACTAAGAAAAAAGAAAAGATTTATTTAATTGCTAATGTCATCATTCTGTCACTTAATAAACAAAATTATGAAGGTAAACTATAATAATATTAGAGAAAACTACGAACTACGATGTTACAGTTAAAGCACAAATTTGAAGGGATGCTACATTATGCAAATGGAGACTGCACAAAAATACAAATAAATTATAGTAATTAATCACTAAGTTAACGCGAAGACACTATCTCTTGCCTACGGTGCCAGTACGTCGACTTTTGGAAGCTCCAGCTGGTTCCCTGACCGCGGTCGTTGTCTTCGACTTCGACACAGGAGGCTCAACGATTTTATCGAGTTCGATCACAGATCTAATGCGATGTCGAACGCCACCGCTACCCAGTACAAAAACAAAGCCTTCACGGGTCCAGCAGTTCGATATTCCATATTTCCGTCGAGCTGCCATAAAGGCTTCATGTCGAGTCTTCGTTAAAAATTCCGACAAAGTGATACCAGTCCCCTTCAAACACGTCTTAGCTTGCCAGATCTTGTTCTTCACCTCTAACTCACACAACTTAATCAAGATTGGTCTTGGTTTGTCAGAAGAAGAAGTATGGCCCATGCGATGGCAGCGAGATATATCTTTGTACGAGAAACCAGACAACTTGAAACGGTCAACACAAATCTTCACTATTACCTGTACAGTGTCCTCATTCTTTTCCTCCGGAAGCCCATGAAGTAATAACACGGATACATAATAACGATAGGAGGTTCAAATGCGACGTGTGCGGTGTTTCGTTCGTGCAAAAGTGTAGTTTGAAGAGTCATTTGTTGTCCAATCATGGAATAAGTATGGCTGCCAGTGACATCATTTCATCATAGCTGTGACTGACTGATTAACCCATTGACCGCCAACGACGCATCAAAACGTGATTCAAATTTATGTTCGAGACGCTGATGACGTCTTAAAACGTCTTAAAATGCTGTTTGATTACCATTGAAAAAAATGTTATGACTATGTTCATTAGAGTTTATTTTTGACCCAATATCTTACCATGACTGCGCTGAAGATATATTTACCAGAGAACGTAGGAAAAACTATCTAATCAATTGCATAAACATTTAAAATGAATGCCCAAGAACTGAAGCATTAAAGTTATGTACCGGACGCCAGTGACGTGTTTACGCGTTGCGTAGTGATGTTTATCTACCCACTAAAAATAAATAATGATGTAGGTAGATTGAAAGAGAATTATAGCGATCTAGTTCGGCCATAGACATAGTATCTTATAGACTAAACATTCAGTGACGTCATCAGCGTGTGAAAGGAATGCATGTATATAGTTAGACATAAGAGTAAGGGAGAAGCAAATCTATATTTCATGTCTTTTTCTAGGTATGCGTTTTTGATTGTTTTCCCTCCTTTATTTGACATTAACGATGTCAAGCTCTTTTGAATAATATTGATATTATAAGCAAACAGGTAATTGAATTTAGTGTTTTTTGTGGGTCTTAGTTATTAGGTAAGGTGAAAAAGATGGTAAGTTGTAGCATTTTAGGATGTAACAGCATCAGTTAACGAAAAATTGATAATATTACCTTTTATCGGTAAGTTTGTTTTGTGCTTACATTTGCTACTTGTACTGATTAATATCTATTGTTTTAAATACAAAGTGTAACATTTCATATTTTTAATGAACTTTGTGATGTATTTTGTCAAATATTTGGACTCCCAAATTGTAAATTCTTCATGATAATGCTCCTTAATTTGAACGGTCATTCGAAAGCTTAAAGTCATAACAAACGTGTACTTTTTGATTTGGTAGGATTATAGAAACTTTAGGGATATCAGCGAGTACAATAATGTATTCGCATTGTTCAATAATAATTGTTATTGTAATTAGTAGTTATGTCCATAAATATGAACCACATAATGTTATACATATACATACACTTTTATATTCAGCTTTAAAGGAAACTCCTTATTGCCCTACAACTCTTCAATCATTTTCCATATTACATAGACGTCACAAATAATATGTAAGTATCAACCTGAAAACACGTTTGGATTCAAGTACATTAATATTGTGCAAAGTATATTTAATTTCACAAAATATGTATTGCCTGAAATCAGATGCACAAAACTTTATTGCATTCCATTAATTCTATTATACATTAGCAACAATTACATTACAATATTTATTAAAAAAATATGTCATGCTAATATAAAAATAAATATAAATATAGATAAAATAATAAATAAATAAATAAGTCTTAATCTTAAGGTACACAATAACACAACAACATAAGATAATATTCTCAATTAATGATGAAAAAAAATTTGATGATAATATACTTATCGTTACCATTAGTCAGTATCAAAAGTTATAGGTTTTGTGATAGTTGCCTAGCTTGGCAGGAGAATTGGCAACTGCAGTTATTTGGAGACAAACTGTGTAGGAGGTCTATGTTCAGCGGTGGAGGACATTTGTTAGGCTGTAAATGTATTAATTAACAATATCTAAAGCTTAATATGTACATAATTTTTTTAAATGTTTGGTTTGAATAATATTATCATTACATTTATATATACTTGCTATTTAATTCAATCAATTGATATTGTTTTAATTGTTATAGGTATTGTATTTATGCACACACACATACACATACTTGATTTTTTTGTTAAATACCTTGATATAAATGTGTACTATATATTTAATATATTAATTTCTTTTAAATATATTATTTCACAGCTTTCCTAAGGAATCAGCTATCCGTAACTGTTGGATAATCGCTACTGGTAGTGATTATAGGTAACCAACAAAACTTAGCAGTGTATGCTCAAAACATTTTAAGTCTCATTGTTTTAGATGGACTAAATATGCTTAACTTATGTAATTTGTAATATAATTAAGATAATTTTTTTAAATGTTATAATTTCTTGTATAATTTGATCTTGTTGGTAGTTATGATTTTTGACATTGTTCTGTATGTATTAAAAATTGACTAGCATTGCTTATTTTATTTTCAAATGCTGACATTCTGTATTATTATGACTTGTAATAATTGGGTGGCATGACAATGACAAAATATTTACTTATAGATGTATTGATTAAACATGAATCCTCATTTACAAATGTTGGAACTGTCTGTACTATCATGTTTTATGCAAATAAAGATTTAAATAAAAGAAATAAATAAGTAATTTAAAGTCCTGACCTAAACATACAAATGAATAATTTATTATGCAATAATAATTGTAAAACTGACTGGGAATGCCTACCAATGGGACATTTAGTCCACCCTTAATCCCTTTTATAAAGGTGTTATAAACATTAATGTGTAAATAAATTAAGAAATAAATGTAATAATTATGATAATTTCTATTTAATTGTCATAAATAATGTAATAAAGATGTTTTTGACAAGAGATAAGTATTACCTATCTAAGTATAGTTTAGGAGTTATATCTTATTATTTATACCATTAGAATATATTATATACAAGGCAAATAATATATAAACCAAGAATTACAGGGAAAGAAGACAAAAATTTTGTTAAATTTGTTGTTTATTAATGTGATCAAAAATTAATAAGTAATCGTTTTGTTTATTTTGATCTTATTGAATTATATTTAATATATAATTGTGTTTTCATTTCTTTTACTTAATGTAACATTGTTAATATTTCTAAATATTGTGTAAGTACACAAAATTTAGTACTTTTTCCTTTTTAAATTTCAATATATTTTCATTTAAATAGAATATATATC